CTCTACCATAGAAAACCTTCAAAACACTAGTCTACAGTTTTTGAGTTGACTTCATTTAAAATGCAGCTGAGAAGTTGCATTATCTAGAACCTAGCGGAGAAAACTTAAAACTGCACATGTTTTTTCAACTTCACTTGGATCAAATATCGGATTGTCTTGAGAGAAAAACATCAAATATTTACATTTGGCGATCTCCAGAACAATTAGACATTGAATGCTGCATCATTGAAAAAACAAGAATATTCAATAATTTAAATTGTATAAGCCATTTAGATTGTATAAACCTACCTAAGACATCTGTCTGAGATACAGTTCCCAATTGCATTTAAACTATCTATCTTATCTTTTGCCCTAATTTATGCTATGCACTGATCGATTTCTTGCTTTTGAGATCTTATAAGTCAGCTATTAAATGCAAAAACCGATAATTTGTTTGTACAAATTATAGAAAAAATTCCTGAACGTTGATTCAAATCTATTGGATCATAATAAGCTGATAGAGCCCCCTCAATCGCCAAAAAAAACAAATAATTTTGCAACTATCAACTCATCTCCAAGTATTGGTTGTTACATATTATTAATGATAAAATTCAAATGATGATAGATTATTAATGATAAATTATTTTTTTGCAGTTTCAATAAAAATAAAAAAAGTCTAAAGTATCCTTTTAACAAAAAGTTTTCAGCGCATGCTTCAGAGAAAATTTCAAAAAAACTAACAATGCTGTGTCAGCATTGTTAGTTTTTTGAGGGGCTATTCAAAACTTTGGGTGATCCAAAAGTTAACCTTGGGCTAAGTGAACTTTGGGCTAATTCAAAACTTTGGGTGATCTTTGAATTATTTTTTTGCAGTTTCAATAAAAATAAAAAAAGTCTAAAGTATCCTTTTAACAAAAAGTTTTCAGCGCATGCTTCAGAGAAAATTTCAAAAAAACTAACAATGCTGTGTCACCGACAATCACTTCAAATTCTACTAGATGAATTTGACTATCATTTATGATGATAATTTTTTGAAATTTATCATTAATAATATGTAACAACACGTCGTTTTTCTATGTGATTGTAAATTGATTCAAGTGTGTATTATAGCTCAGGGGGCTGCATGTGGTGTTGCAGACTTGACAAATTTTTCTGAGAATAATGTTTGCTTACGTTCACTACCTGGCTTGAAAAAACAAACAAAAAATTTGCTTACATACTTCAACGTCTTCACTCAGTGAGGGGGTAACATCTGTTTTTGCAAAACTAAAACATTTGTCTGAGAAAATGAATTTTTTTTTGCTTACGCTTAAAGAAACCAATAGAACATTGTTTACGAGCTTGAACGTCCTGAGTCACTGTAAGGAGTAACATCTGATTTGCATTTTTGAAATATTTGTTTTATAATTTTTACGTCGACTACTTTGCCTATGAGACTAATAAAAAAATTTGATTCAGAATATTTCGAATTTTTTCTGAAACTTATTGTTTGAAGCTTGCCATCAAGAGAATCATCACAATTTAATACCTAGGTTTATGAAAATTTACTTAAGAACCATGAAAATTGTTTTTCGGCGAAAACTGGCGTCAAAGTGTTTTTGAAACTTACCATCTGAAAGTTACCTTCTGAAGCTTACCATCTCAAACCCTCAAACCTATAACCTATTTTAATACATTCAGAAAAAATTTAAGTTTGTTTGGCTCAAATGTAAAGTCATAAAAATATCAAAGGCGGGACTCTATGGTAGATGTGGGTGTCGAGCCCCCCCTAAAATCTTTCCGGTGTTGAACTAAAAAAAGTCGACAAAGTTTGAAAATTTTGAAGTTTTTGTAAACCTGCCTCCCCTCACGAAAATCAAGATCCGCCTCTGATATAGTCTAGCAGTTTGCATGACATCTGAATCTCTTCGACATAGTTAGAAACACAGAAAATGGGCTCTTTTTTTCTTTTCCTGCCTGCGAAATTTCACTAATACCTTTTACCTTTTTTCTGTTTGTTTTGTCCGCTACAACATTTTTCATTGGGAATGACTATGGCCTGACAAATATATTTCGTCTCTTACTTGCCCTTGCACCAGAAAAAGATGCTTATGTGAGGCAGGGGGAGAAAAGAAGAAAAGCCTGAAGTTGCCGTACGGTGGGGAAATGTTAGAAGAAATGCCGTTCACATAATGCTTATCGAGTCTTTCCGATTTCAGACCCTCAGACTAGTATCAAAAAATTTATAGCCCCTCAAAACTTTCCCATTACAGACTCTCAACCTTTCCTATTATAGTCCCCCTACAAAGGTTTCTAATTATTCTAATAGGCAGATCAAATGATTATTTTCAATGCTTACATTTAAGTATGGTTACATTTTATATGTTATTTCAACCATTTGATTATTTGTTTGCATCACTAATATGTTTTTTGAATTGACCACTAAGTCTTATAATTTCTTTGAACACTTCAAATTTTTTGTTTTTGCAATATTTTTTTAAACAAGAATTCCGCGAGATAAGAATCAATTATACTTCTTTCTGTTCGGTACATTTTTTGTTTTTTTGCCTTTGAATCTTTCCAAAGAGTTTCAATTGTGGGTATGAGCCCCAGTTATTGGATCCACAAAATTTTAAGATTGATTTACCAATTGGTGCGTATATTCAATGCTTTTGTTCATTACATTGTGCGCAGATCACATATCTGTTATTATAGTTGAACCACTGTAAATACTTTTTAATACAATCCATGAAAATCTCTTAACTTCTGTTGCAATTTGGCAAACAAATACATCTTTCGTTTCCCGCCAGATTCCACCAAACACCCATTGTTGCGGATAAACACGGCCATTGTTAGATTTCCTTTTCGAGTAGAGACTGTCGTCTGTTTCGACGGTCATATTAGGTCCAGCTATTTGTACAGAATTCTGAATGAGGTTCCAATTTTTCGCAAATAGTAGCAGGAGTCTACCACTGTGTTTTTTGACATGAGCAATTGTTTCGAGCAGTATTTAATAGTTGCAACATCAGTTGCCCAAGCATCAATAAATAACAGTATTTTATCCAAAGGCATCTTACATCCAGCTAACCAGTTGTTTGTTCTAATGCTCACTTCAGACCGACAATTTCCTAATTTACACCTCCATTTGTCTCATTTGCATTTTGAACATCTGAGATGCACAGATGCATGGAATGACCATTAGCACAAGTCTTTTCCTGTGGAACAATATCATACTCTTGGAATAGTCAATTTTTTTCTCATTTATGTTTTGTGATGTCTACTATTTTAGGTAAAAGTATCGGAGCCACGAGAAATTTCATCAGGCGAGGCAGCTTGATTTGATACTCAATCAATATTCAGTTCATGAAAAAGAAGTCATCGATATAAATCAACTAAATATCATAATTGAAATGTTTCCATTAAAATAAATTTCAGTATATATAGTAGTATAAATCAGTACGGATAGTGTGTCTATAATTGGAATGTTCGGGGGGGGGGGGGGCGGTATAATGGGAAAGGTTGGGGCGGGGGCAATAATGGGAAAAACCGTGCAATTTTTCTCCATCTTTGAAATGCACAAAAGATAAGCATTATAGGCTCAGTTTCAAGCACATCTTTCTTATCGCACACAGCTTTGAAAAAAATTAGCATCTCATTAATATGAGGTTAAGGTATAACGCCGAAAAATGAATAAATGAAAAAAATGGCTCTTTTCCAGTTCCTGGCTCTTTTCCAGTTCCCCCTTTTCAAATGCAATTTTGAAAAGCTTAGATAACGTTGTCATAATGCAATGAAAATTGGCGTGGTGAACAAACCGACAACTGTGAACAGATTTGTTCTTCATACCTTATAGCGTAACATCACGCTTTTAGCCGTAATAACACGTATAACAAATATAAAACTCGGTATTTTGAAAGGGGGAAACTGGAAAAGAGCCCAGTTCCTTCCTTTGATGTTTTCTGAAATTCAATTTATGAAACTCTATTAAAAATTAAATTTTCATGTCATAAACTGCGTTAAAACATGTCACCGTGAACAGGTGAACAATTTTGAACAGCATTTATAACGTTCAAAAAGCCGTGTGAACATTTTTTGAAAAAAAAACATTTTTTTCTACTTTACTAGGGGGCTGGAAAACTGGATAAGAGCCAAAAAATGGGCTCTTTTCCACCAAAACTTTATTTTTCTTTTTGATGAACTTATTTTTTACAACTTAAATTGATCTCAATTTAATCTGTATACTTTTTTCATACTAAACTCGATACTCATCCATTTTTGCCAGTGCGGGGAGTGCGTGATTTTACGATGTACGGTATGGAGAGCACAATTGCTCGCAATAGTTAGTTTGCGTTCACCGAGCAAAATTGAAAATCAAATGTTGTGGAAAGTGGAAACAAGTCAAGAAATGGGTCTTTCCCATTATAGCCCCCGCCAGTTAAATCCCTCATAATAGTAAAATTCTTTAACTGGAGCTAGATTTTTTGTTTTTAGACTGGCAGGCTATAATGCGATGGACCCAAAATAATTTGATTAAATTTCCTCCTGTGACTTTTTCTGAAATTAAATTTATGAAAAAATGTTTTAAATAATTTTTCATGTTATAAACTGCCTTAAAACGTGTCAGCCAGCGTGAACAGGTTAACAACTTTGTACAAGATTTCTTTTACTGAAGGAAATGGTTGCAAAAATTCCATGTGAACATTTTTTGAACAGATTTTTTGTTCCGACTTTTTTTTGTAACTTTACGAGGGGGTGGGAAAGTGGAATAGAGTCAGAGAATCGTGTGCATTGTTAAACAAGGCCAACCATCAAAATGAAAATCAAATTCGAGAGCCAATATTGAAGCTGACTCATTATTTTGACTTCCATTTTGAGAAAAAATGACTGAAGACATTTTTCCCGCCTTTCTAAAATCACTTGAGAGAATAAGTCACCAGTTTTTACTTGACTTTTAGCTAATTTACGCAACAGATTATATCTAGTCTCAATTTGCCCAGTGAACTTTTTCTGGAAAATCCGATTTACACGCAGCCTATTAGAAGATGAGAGAAATTGTTCACGTGCAAGCCGGTCAGTGCGGAAACCAAATTGGAGCCAAGGTGATATATTCATTCTTATTGATTTTTGCCGTTTTAATTCAACATGACTAAAGGTTCATGCCATGATCGTGAACCTAAAAATATATTTTTTCATTTTTATTTTTTGATTCTACAGCGTTTCGTATAACATTTTATAACGATTTTCTACTTCTTATGTTATTTTGCGAGTGTTTGCCAAGCAAAAATGCCAAATTGGCTAAGCAGTTTGCCTTCTTAAAAGGAACAGTTGGTACTTCAAGTCCCACGTTGTAGGGGCGCAACATCAATTATCTATAATGAGATGAATGTCGTTGGGCTGAATGCAGTCGAATTTTAATTATTCTTTTTCTCATTGAAAAAAATGGTCTTAAGTGGCCCTTAATAAAATAGCATTTTTCATGACAGTTAATTATATTTTTCTGAAGAAAACATTTAGACCGTTTTTAAATGCAGCAACTGTTATCAATACAGTGAGACACGTTAAGTGCTCGATGGGGAAATTTTCAAAAAATTTTCTCCAACCTTTTTTTAGGTTGACCATATTGATTTTCTGGGCTCTTTTCCAGTCCCCCTTTCAAATTCATTTTTCAAAAGGGGTTGGAAAACTGAAAAAAAGTCATAAAAAAGGGTAATGTAAAAAAGAGCCCATGAAACAGTTGCAGTTTCATGTGCGTTTTTAATAGTTTTCGTACCCATGGAAAACAACAATGTAAAATGGTTTTAAAATAAAATCATACCACAATTTGCATGAAAGATTTATTGTGAAAATCTGTTCATGTGCACAAGAAATATGTTATTGTTCCGAATTTCGATACGAAAGTAACGGAATATTTGTGCTCGGGGTGGGTTTTTTTTCTTCAGACAAATTTCGACTTTTTTACTAGCCATTTTGACGAATTTTTTTAAATATCATTCAAAAGGTATTGTTGCCCTAAACTTAAATTTGAAAAAATATTTCACCTGTGATCATTTTTTGTAAAGTTATGAGGGTTTAAAGATTGCCATTTTGGCCAATTTGGGACAATTAACTCGCGATATATTTCGCGCTATTAACGTGTAAGCGGAGAGTTAATCCGTCTTAAATCGTTCCAAATTGGTTGAAAGAAGCTTTTTTGCCATAATTGATTTGTTACAAGGAGCGAAATCTATCCTTTTGTACTTCATATGGCGTGTGGGGGGATGATTTTCATGAAAAAATTTCAAACTTAGAAAAAAATTTCTTTTTTTTTACATTGAATTTTTCAATGTTATTACTGCTCCACCTTAAAAGGCAGTCGGAACATTCAGGGCTTCGCCCTGAAACGAGCAGTCTTGTTGCAATTATATAACTTCAGGAGAGAGAAACTAAACAAATTCGTATATAATCTTAAATGAAAACATTAGCTAAAATCTTAATTTTGCTAGACTTTTGTAAATGGAATTTTAAAATTAAGACCATTTTTTTATCCACCGGGGAAAAACCAACACAAAAGCTGTACAGCTAGCTCATCACGGCGAACCGCTGTTGTGCCCCTGTTTAAGAACTACATGAAATTTTTTTTTGGTTATTTTTCTGAGCTGGGTAATGTTGCTTCACCTTTCGGAAAAATTTAAAGGAAGAGAGCGTTTTTAGATCTTATGGCATATTTGCTTCACAAAGATTTCAACTTTTTGGTTTTTTTTATACATTATCTCTCTCATTACCAATTATCTGCCTTTTTTCAAACTTTCTATTTCTATGATGCTTTATATGATTTTCTGGCTTAAAATTTCATAATCAGTAAAATGTAAAGCGTTAACATCAGTTTGGTTTTTTCTATTACAGCCCAGAAAAACTTGAATTATTACTTTTCTTGACATTATAGTTTAGCAGTTTGCATAAAGTCGTGATGTGAAAAAAGCTATCAAAAACCAATTAGCAATACCAATCGGGCGGAAACTCGAAAAGAGCAGTTTAATTTCTCTGCTAAGACAGCTATTTAGTGTGAAAGACTAATGTGCCGAAGTGACCATTTGTCGAAAAGACGTGAACTTAAATAAAAACAGCTGTCGCATGAACTAACATTAATCATAGGGATAAATAAATTATTTCAAGTGGGCAAAAAATTAAACAATTCTTATTAAGGTAATGGCTCTGCAACTTTAGCAAAGAGGAACTTGCATCACTGGCACTTTAAAAAGAAGAAATTTTTTTATAACTCAAATGCGATAAAGTGATTTTTGTCCAAAAATTAGTCGAACAATATGGAAAAAAAATGAAATAAAAAACTCACTCACTGTGTAAAAATGAATTTTTTGCGTCCACTAAAGTATTAAAAAGAAAGTTGCTCGACTAAAATTAATTTTGAATGTTATAATAAACCGCTCAAGCGTGAATGAATAAGAGGTACATCGCTCGTTTTTTTTTTTCACCCAGTAAATTTTTTTGTTGTCAAAGTGGTTCTCGCTTTGATCACCAATGTTCTTTGAACAAACTATTGTGGTTCAACTTTCTTGTGTTCTTTCCGCATTTTGCCACACTAACCGACCCTAATTTCTAGCTTTTTTGTTGTTTTAATTGTTAGTTTTTCCAGGCGCTTTGCAAGATCATCATTTCTTTGATGCAGAAAAATGTTTTTACAATTTTTTTTGAACTACCCCGTTTTTAAGCTTTTAGTTTTTCTTCTGAGAAACTTCTTGAACCGTTTCAAACGCAATAAATTTGGAATGTTGAACCAACTAATCAGCTTAAATCCAAATGCTTAAAAAGTCGGAACAATAAATTTACATTGTAAAATTGCGCGTTAGTTTGAATAATATTTGTAAACAATTGTAAAAACAGAAAGTGAATAATTGGCTGTGGAGAGTAGAGGACTAAAAAAGAGCAGAAAAAATTTAATCAGGAGCAATTGTTCGAAAGGAACAGATATTGAGCTTGAAATTAGTTTGCTCCATGTAGATTGATTACAGCGAAAAACATCCTTCTTAAGCGCAAGATTACAGCAAAAAATGTCCTTCTTTGAATTGTAGAAATCTGTTTGAGCAAAGCCTTGAAAAGTGTTTTTTTACGAAAAAACAAAAAAGATTATGCGACGTGGGTATCCACCTTATAGAAGCGTCAAATTTCTGTTGTAAAAATTTGTTTTCAAAAAAAGTTCTAATTCTTATCCTCAAATTTTGATGTTCCCTTTCAATTTTGAAAAACTACTTTAATCGCTTCATAGTGCGAAGAAATTTGGCCAATTGAGAACCAAATTTTATATCGTACCATGGAGAGTTTAGTTTAAAAATATGTAAAACAACTGTTAAAATGAAGTTTTCAACAATAGTGGCGGGAAAAAGAAGAGTAGAAAAAAGCACCATATTCTCACCACGATTAGTCGTTCTTTATTTGGTCTCCTTTTTGCATCAACATCTTTTTCTCGTTAGAAATTTTTCATTGTTATAAAAAGGTTTTTATTTCACATTTTCATTTGGTACACATTATTATATGAATCTTAGTTGAAGGATATAGTTAGAACAAAACCTTGAAAAACGACTTTAAACAAAAAAGATTATGCGACGTGGCAATCCACCTTACAGGAGCTTCAAAGTTCTGTTGTATTAACTGGTTTTTCAAAAAAATCTTTCAATTCTCATCCTCAAAAATTGATGTTCCCTTTCAATTTTGAAAAACTGCTTCATTATGCGAAGAAATTTGGCAATTTGAGCAACATATCTTATATCGTAGCATGAAGCGTTTAGTTATAAAAATATTTGAAACAACTGCTGAACAAATTTTTTCAACAATGGTGGTAAAATGACTCAAAATTTTGACGAAGAGAAATGTCTTAAAAGTTTTTTTCAAATCAGAAATCCATATTCTATCCTTTTTTTCATATTTCTAAAACAGTTCCTCGACAGTTTCATAGTTCAAAAAATTTTGGCATGTTGAAAAAACTATCAGTTTTGAAGAGGTTTGTTTAAGATTTCTTAAATTGTAACATTGTGGGCTAAGTTTTAATAACTTTTGAAACAACAATAAAAACAGAGTTTTGAACAGTGGGCTCTTTTTCCTTCCCCCCATCACCTCACTCAAACATGAATGTTATGGTCTAACGAGTGGTTTTACAAGGTTAATTATGAAAACCAAATATTTCACATTTTCATTTGGTACACATTATTATATGAATCTTAGTTGAAGGATATAGTTAGAACAAAACCTTGAAAAACGACTTTACACAAAAAAGATTATGCGACGTGGCAATCCACCTTACAGGAGCTTCAAAGTTCTGTTGTATTAACTGGTTTTTCAAAAAAATCTTTCAATTCTCATCCTCAAAAATTGATGTTCCCTTTCAATTTTGAAAAACTGCTTCATTATGCGAAGAAATTTGGCAATTTGAGCAACATATCTTATATCGTAGCATGAAGCGTTTAGTTATAAAATTATTTGAAACAACTGCTGAACAAATATTTTCAACAATGGTGGTAAAATAACTCAAAACTTTGACGAAGAGAAATGTCTTAAAAGTTTTTTTTCAAATCAGAAATCCATATTCTATCCTTTTTTTCATATTTCTAAAACAGTTCCTCGACAGTTTCATAGTTCAAAAAATTTTGGCATGTTGAAAAAACTATCAGTTTTGAAGAGGTTTGTTTAAGATTTCTTAAATTGTAACATTGTGGGCTAAGTTTTAATAACTTTTGAAACAACAATAAAAACAGAGTTTTGAACAGTGGGCTCTTTTTCCTTCCCCCCATCACCTCACTCAAACATGAATGTTATGGTCTAACGAGTGGTTTTACAAGGTTAATTATGAAAACCAAATATGAAAACTTAATTAGTCTGCATGTCTATTTTCATGACAATCGGACAAAGTGAACAGTAACTTCAAAATAAAATTTGCAGGTGGAAAAAAGGAAAAAGAGTCGAAAAGTGGTTTCGGGAAGAAGAAGAGTGGTGAATAGGCACAAAGAATCAATCAAGAACAAAGTTCAAAAAAAAGTAATTTTAAGGCTAGAAACTAGTTTGCTCCGCTTAGAATTGTCAAAATTCTTTCTCTTATGAAGTAGTTAAAACT